TAAAGCATTCAAAGGACTAAAACGTATATACCCGCTTGATTGGTTGCTTGATTATGTGGAATTGCGTAATTCAAAGCGATTTCCAATTTGCGCATTTTTATATGCAGCTCAAAGCACTTAAAATATTCACGTTTTAAACTAAGCGGCTTACAGCAGAACAGCTCTCGGACTGCAAATAATTTCAACTAATTGCAAAAAGTTGGCAGTAAAGAGTAAAAACAAATAGTTTATGAAGCTGACTTTGATGGCAGCAGAGGGCAATGTGAAAAGTCGAGTAATTAGTGAGCACAGGTTTACTAAAAGGGACGAGCAACAATCGTATACAATGCGGTTGCACATGATTTAAAAAAAAAAATAAAATAAATAAAAAGAAAAGAGAAACCATCAAATGAAGTCAAGCATTTGAGCAGAACAAAGGCCAAACACAACCGCAGACAGTTCCCCATACAAATTGCAGCAGAGCTACAACAGTGTGTGCGTGAGAGAGAGAGAGGGGCATAGGCAGGCAAGACAGACAATAAAAGTGTACTAAGCGAAATGGCCAGCAGGGCATTGCAACGTCTACATTGTTATATGCATTTAAAGGTGTGCCAGAAGTTAAATGCACCTGCCACGGGCGATTTCTGGGGTTTAATGGCATGGCACTGACTGACTGGATGGGAGGGAGAGGGAAAGGGAAGGAGAAGGGGAATGGGAATGGGACAGTACGGTACGGCATGGTTTGGTATAGGACAATAAAAGCGCACCGCTGGGGCACACAAATGGAATAACAGCCGCAACAACCGTAACAGCAACACATGCAACACAAACTTGCCTCGTGCACCTTGTTGCAGGCGTCAAAAGCCAAAGGCAAAAGTTGCTCGAGCTGCTGCGTAAAACTTTGCTGCATACATTTCGACTGCGTTTGCCGGCCAACTGAGGCGACGAATGTGTACGATGGGTGGGTGTGTGTGTGGGACTGTGCCTGTGTGCATGTGTGTGTGTGGGAGAGAGAGAGAGAGTATAAGTGTGTGTGTCTCTGTTGCCTTGCATAGTTGTGCACTCAACTATACACCCATATTTACCCACTGCAGACACGTCTGAAATAATATACAGTAAAGCCTAGCTATGAAGAGAGCACGAATGAGCTAATAAGAAATAAAACTTAATATTTATTAAATAAAAAAGAAATAAATGAAAACAATAGCAAACAAAAACATAGTAATATCTTGAGAAAAGTTCCGAAATTTCCTGAATAAATCAGCTTTTTATGATCCATTTGTTCAAATAGTATAAGAAAAACTATCTTAAAACAATTGAGGAAATTGTTCATTGGATAACCCTTTCTTGATGGAATTTTGACAGTTAGGATTATAGTACAGTACCTGTATTAACTATATTAAATATTAATTTAAATTATTAAATATTAAATTAGTAGTCTTTTTCATAGCATATTTTCATAGTTGGGGCATAAATTTTACTACTGCGTTGCCATCATTTAGTCAGCAGATATTATTCAATACCCAAATACTTAAAATGTTTGCATATAAATTCCTCGAGCCTCAAGCATATACATATATGGACTCCAGCCAGTCCTTTATATACGATAATTACTGTGTAGCGAAACAGCAAGCAAAGCTTTACATATCATTTTCAGTCATATAACGTTCATATACATATATTTCCATTTTTGCCTTAGGCAAATCTCATATCGAATACATACTGTACACGAACACAGACATCCAAGCTAATCATTGAAATGTCATAATTTAGGCAACTCTTTTCGCTCAATACTATAGTCATACAAATTTCTCATATATGTATTCCCCTTTTCGCCTAATCCCAGTCTCTCATATCCAATAAGTACTGTACAGTGAAACAGAGAGTATATCAGAATAATTTATTGTCATCAATTGGACAGCTCACATTACTCAATACTATAGACATACAAATTCCGCATATATTTCAATTTTTCATCTCATACCAGTCCCTCATATTCAGTAACTTCTGTACAGTGAAACAGAGAGCAGTGCCATTCTCTAGTCAGCTCACATTATTCAATATTATAGATATACAAATTTCGCATTTCACCCCATACCAGTCGTTTATATACTATTACTACTGTACTACGAAGCAGAGAGCAAAGCAAAACAGTTGCAATATTTTCAGAGATTACCAAAAAAAACAAAAAGGAGAAGCGAATGCCGCCTCTACCTCTGCCTCTGTGCGTTGACAGCCGGCGCAGAGCAAGGCACAAAGTGTGGTGAAAAAGTGTGTGAAAGAGCAATAACCCACTGTGAGAGCTGCGTGCGTGAGTGTGTGAGGTGTGTGGGTGGTGGAGTCGTAGAGTGGTGGAATGGTAGTAGTGCATGGTGGGTTGCTCGATTACAAAGTGAACGCTCTCTTGGGTCCGCATTCGCATTGTCGCATTCTCTTACTGCGCGCTTACCTGTGTGCTCAACTTATTTGTGTGTTTGTTTGTGGCCTGTAACTGTGTTGAGTTTCCGGCACGCCGTATAAACAAACCCAGACCCGGACGCAAACTCGCGTGGGGGCAAATGCCGGCTAACCAGCCAGGGGGGTTGCTGCTCCCGTTGCTGTTGTTGTTGTTGTTTTTATTGTTGGCGGTGCATTTATTAAGCCGTTATCAATGTCAACAAATGCAGACATGTTTTATTTTATTTTATATTAATATTATCATTATTGAATTGATGCCGCGTCAGACAATGCAAAGTATACATATCGAATGCCGCACGTGATGCCGCACATCAAGTGAAGTGAATGTCAATCGGTCCGTTAGCCGTTAGCCAACGTTAGCAGCTGTCGCAGCTACGCACAAGAGAACGCCCCCAACGCGCACAACATTGCCACGCACAGGACAATCGAGCACCAGCAATGACTGCCAAGCCGCCTCCTCCGGTGCCGCCAACGGTGCCCGATGACCAGCTGCCGAAGCTGGCGCCGCAGATACCACGCCTCAACTCGGAACTGGCCGCCCAGGCAGCGATGCGCGCTCAGCAGCTGCTGCGCAAGCAGAGCTCGCAGGAGCAGACGCCACCCGGGCAGAAGGCAGCGCCACCACCGCTGCCACCGCAGAGCCGACCCGTGCCAGCGATACCGGCACGCGGCGCCAGCGAGCGCTCGGCACCGCCAGAAATTCCACCCAAGCGCCATAGCCTGAAGAGTCTGCCCGATGGCCAGCATGTGGTGGTGCCCGGGCTGCCACCACCTCTGCGGCAGCCACCGCCGTTGCCCAAGAAGCCCGCATCCGCGCAGAGCTCGGCGCAGAACAGCGCACAGAACTCGCCGCTGGCGGGGCTCAAGTTCAAGGAGAAGCCACCGCTGCCCCCGGAGAAGCACTCGACGCTGTCAGCCGAGGGAATGGCGGCGCGCCGTTGCTCCAATCCCTTCGAGATGCCGCCACCGCCGCCGCCTCTAGTGCTGCAGTCGGCAGTGGCAGCGCTGAGCGAGCAGAGCTCCAAGAATGTGAATACGCTGGCGAATTGCATTCCGGTGCCGTCGCCGGCGCCAACGAGAGCCAGCGAGACCAAGAAGCTAAACCAACGACCAGCTCCGGCGGCCGTCTCACCCACGGATGAATTCGGCTCGGAGGATGCGTTGCGCGGCATTGAGAGCGGCCTGCGTAACATGGAACGCGCCATGCAGGAGCAGATGAACTTGCGCAGCCTGGAGGCCGCCGTGCAGAACAACTTCGATCTGAGCTTCAAGGCTAGCCTGGCCGCAGGAGGCGGCCGCCACCTGGGCAGCTCAGCCAATTTGCGTACCACCAACTACGAGCGCAACTTGTCGCTCGACGAGAGCCGTGCAGGAGACTCGCGTCAGTCGCTGGAGGAACTGAAGCAGCTGCGTGCCCAGGCGCAGCAGCAATCGCTACACAATTCATCCTCCTCGTCTGTGTCATCCGCATCGGCCTCGCAGGTGGAGCAATCAATGCGCTCCACCATCGAGCACCACATGCGCTCCCTCGATCGCAATCTGCCGCTGGAACTGCAGTACAGTCGCCATCGCATGCAGAACAACCTGTCCGGCGCTGGCCACCTTCCGGCCGGCGGCGGCGCTCCGCCAGTGTCGCAGTCCTCCCAGCAGCAGCAGCAGCAGTCGCCACAGCCACCCATGCCGCTGAGCAGCGAGTTCCGTGAACAGATCCGCCAGCAGCTGCTGGGCAACATTCCGCCCCAGGTGGTGCACAACATGGGCCAGTTGCCCGGCTCGGCAGCAGCCGCTGCCCTGCTGCAGCATCAGGCTCAGTCGCGGGCAGCTGCGGCCGCCGCTGCTGCTGCCGCCCAGATAGTCGCCGGCAATGGCGTCGTGCCCGTTGGACTCTCCAGAGAGGAGCTGCGCATGCGTCGACGCTCCTCCCACGACGAGACGCAAATATCGCAGAACGCAGCTGGAGGCATTCCGGGTAAGATGGAAAAGGATTGACTGATTGATTGAAGAACTGATCAGCGCCCAGTCCCTGAGTCTAGATAGATAGGCAACCGATATTAATCATATATATAATGATATGAAATTTCAACAAAAAACTTGAACTTAAGTTGATAAAACTTAACTTAAATATTATTTATTTATTAATTTTTTTTAAGTATTATTTAATTTTTTTAAGTTAAGATAGGCATAATTATGCTATGAATACTTAATATTGATATACTTCAGATTATAAATTATATATTGTGTTTACCAACACTTATTTTATTTAATTTTTATCAATTTTTTTTTTTTGTGTATTTAACTAATTATTTATTTATTTTATTTATTTATTTTATTTTTTTTTGTAAAACTTGATATATGAAAAATATTTCCGGGAAGGCAATATTTAAAAAAAAAAAAAAAAAACAAAAAACAAAAATAATAATAATAATAATTTCTTTGTTTATTTAATATAAATTAAGCTAAAGTTGTTTCCTCTATTTTCTCATTATTATTATTATTTATATATTTATTTGATTGTAAATATTTTGACATTTCTTCTATTCTATATCTATATACATCTCTGCTAGAATTGAAACAATTTTCGATAGCACCGCATTGTGCAGCTGACTTAGACTATTTACGTTGCTTTCTGAAAGGTAACGAATACAATTTGTGTTTATGCTAACCAAGTTGTGTGAGAGTTAACAACGGCTAGTTCGATAGATACCAGAGTGGGCTCCAACTAATCTGATAATAATTGAGACCATCTCACGCACAAATTCCTGCCGAACAAGTGGAGCAGAGCAGCAGCACACCTCTCTCTCTCTCTCTCTCGTTCCCTCCCTTGTTTACTAATGATGTTGCATGGCGTTACACACACACACACACACACTTACAACTGATCAATAAATGTTGACTGGGGCTCCAAGGGTTCCCCCGTTTACCGTTTATCGTTTACCGTTTACTAGAGACTACACCGCAGCTAACTTATGTCACTCGATTAAAATGTTTTATTGTTGTTGTTCTTAGCTAATAATATTTAACAGTAACGAAAATGCTAGGCGCTCTGGCGAACCATTAATTAAACTGTTCTCTATTGTGGCATTCACAGTGACCCGCCTGAGGGAGCATTGGGATGAGACGTCACAGTGCGTTCTGCAGCGAGCGGCGCAGCTGAAGAGCATGCTGAGCGATTCGCAGCGGTAGGTTATCCTTTAGCCCACTTTGGGGTCAATCCAATTAATAGCTTCCTTCCGATTGGCAGGTTTGAGGCCAAGCGCGTCGAGTTGGAAATGTGGTTGGCGCGCATGGAGCAGCGAGCCGAGCGAATGGGCACCGTGGCCACCACAGCAGACATACTGGAGGCCCAGCAGAAGGAGCAGAAGGTGACTTGTGCTGGCTGGCTGGCTTGGCTGGCTTAGCTGGCTTAGCTGCCATGGCTGACATGACTGACATGGATTGCATAAATTAATCTATTCCCTTTATATACCCGTAGTCCTTCCACGCCGAGCTGCATCAGAATAAGCAGCACTTCGACCTCTTCAGCGAGCTGACGCAGAAACTAATTGCAGTCTATCCAAACGATGATACTTCCAGAGTTAAGAAGATGACTGAGTCCATTAATCAACGGTGAGTGTCTATTGAAATCGTGCTGCGACTCTGTCGAGCCAAATGAAATGCGAAAATGCAAATAGTTGCGCGCTTTCAATTCCGAGCCCTTGTGCGATTTGCGTGTAATGCGAATTAATGACTTGCACTTGCCAAGCCTTGGCATTATAAACACAAATAAAATAAATCAGAGCAGGTGCAGGCAAACCCATTGAGTGCTGAAAAAATGCTTAAAATCTTAGACAATACTCAATCTATAGAACTCTTAACTGTTGGAAGTGCTTTAATATGCAAGGAGAAGTAAGAGCGTAGAAGAATATTTGTGACTTTTTCAAGAAAGTTGTTTAGAATAGTTAAACTTTGAAGAAGCTTAAAATAGCTAAGCCCTAAACCTCTATGAAGTCTAAGAAAATTGCCTATTGGAAGTGGCAATCGGGCCGAAGAGAAAAGTCGAATTAAGCAAACTTTTAAAAATTCATCAAAGCTTTCCAAAAACATCCCAGTTAGATAAATTATCTATGTATAATATTCACATTCTATATAGTTAGCAATAAATCATAATAAATAGATCATGTAAAACCTTAATTTTTTGTAGTTTTAAATATATATAAATATTTTCAATTTTAATTTCAATTAATTTCACTCTTTGGTATATATACAGGTTTTTGTGAATAGTATATAGAATTTTACAATAATTTAAGAGTAGGCTTAGAATATATATTGCTAAATTTGAAGGAAAGCCCAATCAAGTTTTATATAGATTTAAATCATTTAACCTTTCCAAAGTAAATGATTGTTTTCTATTCTGATTGACATTCCGACTATAGTAAAAATTATAAAATTAACAATATCTTGAAGCTTCAATAAAAAGGCAAATAATATGTGTCTGTTTTATAAAATTAATAATAGACAGCACCAAATATAGCATATAACACCTTCTTTTCTCGTTATTAATATATTTGTTTCCCATTCTCCTTGCAGCTATACCAACTTGAATAATGGTGTAATCAACCGAGGCAAGCTGCTTCACGCCGCCGTGCAAGATCTGCAGTCGTTCGATCGTAAAATGGATCAGGTTAGCAATCATATCGAGTCATATGATATCCCATTTTTTTAATCGATTCTCTGTTCTCTGCAGTTTCTCGCTTTTCTCTCGGAAACGGAAACCCTTTGTGAAAATGCTGAATCGGACATTGATCGCAATCCAATGATGTTTAAGGTAAGTGCATTTCAGAATTTTCCCTATTTGAATGTTCCCCCCATATGAACACACCGCTGTCTATGTATCGCATTTAACCTGACCTCAAGTGAAAGATATACGCATAGCTTCAGTCTCTGGTGCATTGACCGGTCTCACCAGAGAATGATTGTAAGTGTACTGAGTGTATATGGTGGATAAAAATGTAAGCAATCTACTTAAAATAGGATTTTAAGTGAGAAATACGCTATGTAAAAAAAACTATGTATTCAATTGTTATATTTAATCTTATAAGAAGGTGAGAAAAGTTTCTCAAATTTAGAGTTTTTCAAGACTCTTAAATTTTCTTATTAATATATTTTTTAAATGCATATTATTATTTTAAATACAATATATATTTCTAACATTAACTAAATAAGATTTTTTTAAAATATGAAAAGTGGAAAAATATTTCCCATTATTAAGTTTACAAGAGAATTCAAAACTTCATATTACCCACTTCTATATACATATATATATATTTATATTTATGATTTATTGAAGCTTGCAGCTATATGTCTGATGTCCGATATATACGATATATTGGCTACAAATGATCGATCAGCTCTTCCGACTTCATAAATTCTGCGTGTGTTTATTTACTTTTCAGTTTATTTAGCATTTTGTGATCTATGAGCACGATCTTTGTTTTGGGCTGTACGCAGAGAATTAATTGCAATTTTCCCAAAAGAGTTTTTCCTCCCCGTTGTATCAGATCTAATTGACCCGCATTTGAGGCGCTTGATCGTTCGCTGCTCTCTCTCTCTCTCTCTCTCTCTATCTCTCCCTTTGGCTTTATCAGCTAATTTTCTTTAAGTACTTCCAATTTTCATTTGCCGCATGACCATGAAACATGCAATCAATTTGTGATATCTGATCGAAGCTCAAGTGCTCAGCCCCATCAGCCGATGATGCAGATCCACTCGAATTCGCTTACTTTGTGGACTTGCTTTGATGACCGACACGGATTGGAATGAATCGAGTTGTGTGCTCGGCCACTTAATGTCTCAATGGCATTTGCAACCCGGATTGCCATTGCAGCCTCAAATGGGCTGCATGCCACAAACACACTCACACACACACACACAATCAGTCAGTCAACATAGGCTGTCCTCTTCAATCCTATTTGCCTGTGTGGCTCGACACTTCTCAACGACACCAGAGCACCGCCTCAGCCTCAGCCTCAGCCGCACCCTCAGCCTCCACCCACGCAGCATTCGAAAGTGCGGCGCGTTCTTCAAGTGCTGCGTGGCGTCTGTCTGTTTGAATGTTTGTGTTTCTTGCCTGGGTTACTGGCCGCCGTGCAGCAGCAGCATCACCATCATCATCATCCCCAACTTAATGATCATCAGCTCGCTTTAGACTGTGCTGCATGTGGCCACCCTCCACTTTCCTATTATAATCATGCACTCACCCATTTGAGCCAATTACTGTAAATGCGTTTTCTTTACACTTTTCACTTTTCTTTTCTTTCAACTTCTTGTTCAAATTAGTGGAGCATAGAACTTTAAAGAGTTCTTAATCTTTTTTGTTTACCATATTCATTTATAAAGATTCCCTTTTGAAACATTGCTTTCCCATATATTCAACTGAAGAGCTTGAACCAGTATTTATATTTAAGTAGAAATTAGTCTTTCATATGACCAAAAATAACTGTAATGTGCTTTTATTCATTTCATCAAACCTGCAAAAGCTTTTGCCTTGCAGCTTGTTACACATTTATCCTTGTACAAAATCCAATGGTAAAAGCTTTTAACAGAGCTTCAGCCTAGTTTGAACTCTGAGCTTGAGCTTTATTTTGCCAAAAGCGTTTTACATGTTTAGCTTTTGTGTTGGGAATGCTGAAATGAACTGAGGCAATTTGTTATGAGTTCCTCATTATTTGGCTGAAAGGGGTGTATAAGCCTATGCTGGCTTACAAAATTAAAATTATTTAATAAATTATTAATTAAAATATATATACATTCCATGTTTGCTTGAGCTTAAAATAAATTTAATAAAAGTCGTTGCTATTATTAAAGTTAAAAGTCAAATCTAAATTTCTAAACATTCGACTGTTACAGGGTATCCTTTAGTTTGGCATGCAAATCTGTCTTTAGTTCGTTTCGTATTTTGCCGGCAAGTACCGTTATATTTACCGGCTGCTTGCCGTGTAGACTGTGAGAGAGCGCGCGCCCGAAAAGTCTCCACTCCACAGAGCAGACTCTCGGCCTCTGTTTTCGTTTTCGTTCTCTGTTTTTGTTATCTCGGCACATGCCGACGACGACGGCAGCCGAGTGGCGCTATTTTGGATAGCTTGCCAGCTGGTGTCGCTGTCGCTGCGTTGGATGCTGTGACTGTTGGCGTCGACAGCGCTGCTGCGAGCGTTGGCTCGCACTTGCCGTTGCTCTTCGTCAGTTCAGTTCGTGTTCTGAGATGCGTCCGTACGCGCGTTGATAACGGTCGCAAGGCGCTGATTTGTTTAGCCCGGCTTGTAAACAATTCCAAAATTCATTCAAAAACCTGAACAGAATTTCCGAATTTTCGAATTAAGTGATATATTGAATTACTCAATTATATATATATATATATATATAGATCTACATATATATAAATGATAAAGAGAAACAGTTGCTGTGTCAAGTGTAAATTAAGGGATAAAGTAAATCAGTTTACCATATAATTTGTCTTTGCATACCTATAGGCGTGCACTCACACACACACGCACACTCGCATGCATTGCGGGACACCCGCAGATGCATGCGCCCGCAGACATGCAAGCGCACATTTATGTGCTGCATGCGCACACATGCAAATTGAATCCCACCATGCAACAATTAATCGCAAATCTTTGCTTAAAGCAACGCACGGAAACGGCGGCACAGCCGTTGCCATTATGTGTATGTGTGTGTGCGTGTGTTTGTGTGTGTGCATTTTAAAGTGAAATGTGCATTAATTATGCACACATATTCCAGGCCTGCTTCCGCTGGCCAAACGAACTAAGTGAGATTGAAATTGAAATTTGTGCAACATAAAAAGTTTTGTTGAGTGCCAAAGAAACTGCAAAATGTTTCCAATCCGAATTAAAACAATTGTTTTAATTGTAATGCAAACATGTTTAATCATGTTTCATTTGTGCTGAAAAAACTGAAAAAAACATTCTGCGTCAAAATGCCAGTCGATCAACGTTGTGCGAGTTATAAATTAAATTAAATCAAAATAGTTAATGAATTTATTGAAGTGAATAAAAGTTTCTGCTCATGTGAATTGTGTATCAAAATATGTGTATATAAAGTATTTTATGTTCACTTTTATTGTGTTTTTAGTGCTCGTACATTGTCAGCAAGTTGAGTTTGTCTACAAGATTCTTATCATAGGCATCATGTGTGCAATTTTTAAGATATGGAATTTCGCTTTTAGATAACTGCTTTATCTTTGTCTACTCAGCATCATTTTATCTTTTATTTTCATTATTATTAACATCCGTCTGAGAGTGTGGGCCATAAAATATTTTAGTCTACATTGCTTGTAGTTACTGTTGTAAAGCTCAAGTTGAATGCACTTTGTCGGGAATTTTAGTGCTCAGCCTCAAATGAATAAATAATATATGTAATAATATAATATAATATATTTTTCGCTTTAATAGTTTATTTATGCGCACAAGCACTCCATGTCCCACTCGAACACGAAACAACAACTTCAACATCATTAAACACTCCACACAAATATGTAAAGCCATTAATAACCGGTAGCAAGCACTTGAACTGAGCCACAATAGAAACAGATTCGATCCCTCGGATGATGAGAGACTTTAAACTTCAACTTCAACTTCAACTTCGACTTCAACTTTGAAAACCAAGGCCCAACCCAAGTTAGGCTATCGAATGCGATTATTAATCAAATGACAACACAATCGACACAGTCTCGTGTCGTCGAGACCCAATTTCATTCATAAAAAGATTTCCGCACTTTCCAAAAAGTTTTCGTCTACACGATTTTCCCGTCAGCGCGCGCATTAAGTCTAGAAAATATGCAAGCCCTCTGAGAGCTTGGCCGATACGCGGCTTGGTCAATAACAAATGTCAAACATGCGTTTGCTTGAGCTCTCCGAGTCGAGTTGTCTCCGACCACTGGCCGCGTGTGTGGGGCATGTTTACGTTTACCTGTTGACGCTTGTGGCGTCGCAACGCGTCGGCGGCAGCGGTCGCGGCGGTGCACTATGGGGAATTTTGCCGTTTTTCGGGTATTTAGTCATTTTTGCGAAGTATGAAAATTTATAATTTTTTTATGTTAACATCTTAATAAAACTCCAAACTTTAAGGTACTGTACCCAAAATGTTGAATAACAGTCCACTGTTAAGCCTAACAGCTGTTAAAGTCAGCTGTTATCTTCGAAAAGCATTTGCCTTCAGCTTACAATTTGTGTTAGCCGATTTTCAAATCATCGTTATTCAATGACCAGACATTATTTTTGAGAAATTTAAAAAGGATATGAATTTTTAGGGCTTCTACTATGCGTTGGCTTAAAAACCAATTGATGTTTGAACTTATTTTAATCATTTATTGTATAATTAGCAAATGTTGTCAAATTTCATTTCTTGTAAATAAAATTAAACTTTGCAAAGACATATAAAACAGCCACCAGGGCGCACCAGTGTAATTCCAATTGCATGTTATAGAGTAATCAATTGGGATCTTAGTGCCTTTGTCTCAATGTGCACTTTTGCGCACAACCGGCGCAAATCAATTTTTAGCAGGTGACTATGAGCTGACCTGTGTGATATTTGGCTCAATGAAAAAGGCAACTCTAACCAAGAAATAGTAATTGTGATTTTGAAACTAAATAAGACTAATATTTATTCAACTTATAAATGATATTAAAAAAGCAAAAGCCGCTTTTTTTTGCCAAAATATAAATTACAAATGGAAGAAATGCAGCAGGAACAAAAAACTAGCTGACAACTATGAATGACTGCCTATGACAGCAAATGTTTATAAAAATA